GAAAGTGTGTTACTGTGAGGCACTGCTGGCCACATGGTAAATAGCTTCGATGGCACAGGAGGGCTTACTGCATAAACTGCATTTTCTGAATTCAGAGTATGATGGATTGTTGAGGCCAGCTGAGTTTTGCACCTCTAAGTACTTTGAGAACCGGTTTGGTTTTAGCAGGCAGCATTTTAGCAGCGCTCCTCTGAGCTCCTGGGGAAGCAGCTGTGATGCAGGAGGCTGTGCAGGAAGATGGGAGCTCCAGAAGGCTTCTGCCAGTTCTTCCCCTCGTGCTGTGACCCACAGATAACAGGCCCAGCACTGAATAAGGCAAGTAAGTGGAGACAAGGTTTCCTCCACACAAGCTCAGAGGTCTGAAGAGGTCTGAAGGTTTTTGAGTGACCCCATGAAACCAGCTGCCTTTTAGGCAGCACTGCAGGTGTGCTCACAGCAGCTGGCTGACTGCTTCAGAAAATAAAATGTGTTCAACAAAGATAAATTTACTAAATTGGGTTATTTTCAAGGCAGGGACCAAGAACCCCTCACAGTAGCCTTAATTTTATATTGTCAGTCTTGTTTGCTATCTGGAAGCCTTTCAGCCTCTGTGTGCAGATATAAAAACTTTTTTTTTTTCCCTTTTCTTTTTACAAGTTTGATCGCTTGTAGCTTTGCCTGCCCAGCTTTGTTGAAGAACCAAACCCAGCAGATGTAGCACTGCAGCAGCCCCGTGGGAACAATCTGCAGTCCTGCACCCATGCTCTCCAGATACTGGCTCATTTGCTGGAAGCAGCAAGAAAGCCACACATGGCAGGGGTCGAGTCAGAGATCACAGCCAGAAGGCAGCTGCAGAGCAGAGCTGCAGAGAACTGGGCTCACTTTGCTGATCCAGGGGAACAGGAGGGCTGCTCCTTTCTGAAAGGGACAGCTTTGAATGGATATTTTAACTGTAGATAATTCCTCATCAGTGCAATTCTACAGCAAGTGTCCCAGTGGTTGTGTGTTACAAAGTAAGGGTGTCACTGTCACAGGTCCTTGGAAGCAGGAGGCCGTGCCAGCTTCCCTGCAGTGCTGCAGCACGCCCTGCTCACAGCTTTTCCTCCAGCAGCCCCTGGGCTCTGGCACTGCACCACCAGATGTTCCTGCAGCCGTAGATGCTTTCCTTCAGGACCTGCAGGTCCTTTCCAGAGCAGTAGGTATCACTGGACTTCTTTGTTATCCTAGAAGTAGGTTTGCCTAGAGCAAGGTTAGAGTCTGGAAGTGGTCTGTATAAAGATGTTACCTTACCAGCAGGTGAGAAACCTGCCTGCTTCTGTTTTCAGCACTTATTTGTCCTTCCTCCTTTGTAAAAGCGTTTCAGATTTTGAAGTGTACCTTTTGTAAGGTTTCCTGATTTTGTTTTTTTCCTGGTTACTAAGTCATGGTACAAAAGTTCTGTAATAAAGTTTTTGGACAGCAGCGCACGTGAGCTCGTGTCACTACCGAGTATCGTGACGTCAGTGACACGATGACAGCTTTTCATGGCTGCCTGGTCCAGTTGCTTTGCTGTACATCCATGTCTCACTACATCCATGCTGTTCCTGTACAGAAGCCCTGTCAGTGTTGGGAGACTCACCCTATTTCACCACAGCAGTGGTGGAGATGGCTTTCTGACACAGTTCTGGAAGGCACTGCTTGGTCTTGGAGTCACGAAGGTCTCCATGTGCACACCTGGTGGAAGCTGTGTGCCAGGCACAGCACCCTCTCCTCTGCTTCCCTTTCTCTAGGACACGGCCTGAGCCCCTTGGAGGCTCTTGGCTGCAATGCATTTCTCAGCACCATCCATCTGGGAAGCAGCAGTTCCAAACATTCTGCTGCTTTGCTTCAGGTCTCTTTGTTCCCTCCCTGAATTGCTTTTCTGCAGGCAGTCCTGCCATTGCCTGTGGTTCGGCTCCCTCATGTATACATAAGGGTACTTAAGGATTGTGGGTGGGTTTTGTTTGTTTTTTGGTTTTTTTTCAGTAGAAATACTTCTGAAGTCACTGTATGATGTGCCCTGCAAGGCAGTAGAGTACTGTTGCATTATATTTCTCCTTCCTTGCTAGGTGGTTTGGAAAACTAAGACTCGGATGTGGAGGGGGAGGAATGCAGAGAGGAAACGCCATCACTTGGGCTGGCTTCCTGTTGGCCATGGCACAAAGGAAGGAAAGTCGACAGCCTGCACCAAAACATTCCTGCTGTATCCCAGCTCCTTTTTTAGACACTTTACAACCCTGTTTGGTTTCACACCACCAAAGCCAGATGACCAAACCGACACCTGCTGTGTAACTGACAGCTGTGTAACCCCAAAGGACAACGCAGAGGCTCTGCCCTGCAGTGAGCAGGTGAGAGCGAAAGGGAGGAGAACCATTTGGATGTATGTACCTCAGCAGCCAGGGGAGGTCAGGGCTGCATCCTTTGCAGAGATGTCTGCTTAACAAAAACAGAATTATGTTTCAGCACTCTATTATGCATCATAACGTACTGCTGCTACCTGAGTTTGCTCCCACGGCTGCAGTCACATGAAGGCAGACACAGAACACCAACCACTGCCTTAGCTTTTGGGCCAACCTCACACAACCAGTGCCATCGGGTGCCTCCAAATTCCAGGCAGCCAGGAGCCTCACTGCCATGCAAGGATGCTGTGCGCAGAAAGCGAGGCCAGGTTTTCAAGGAGCAGCACAGCCACCCATACAGTCAGGCCCTGTTGGTTCCTAACACCCAGGTGCTTTCCTTGCACTGACCCTCCACAGGAGCCAAAGCTCCACCGGCAGGCACCAAATCCCTCCTGTCCTTTCTTTCTGCCCCGTAGGATCCATCTCACCCCAAGGCATGCACCCATTCACCTCCCAGAGAGCCAGGCTGAGTGCCTTAAGGTCAGCAGTGGGGAGGAAAGTGATCCAGCTCATTCCCTCCAGCTGTACTAATAAACACATCCTCACCATTCTGCCAGGGCAAAGCCTCTGCCACACAGGGAGCTGCTGCCAGCAGACCCAGTAGGAAGCAGTCACACACAGCTGCACCACTTCACACCTGCAGCAGATTAAATGGCATCCAGCCTTGTCTCAAAGTAAGGGGATCCAGCAGCACTATGCCTGCTGGAAATGGGCAAGGCAGCAGCAAGGAATCAGAATCAAGCAGGGTCCAAAGCAGCAGCCAGGTGCTCCTGTTGGCTTCTGCAATGACCCAAGACAAACGCACGCACCTCTGGTTTTCAACACTAAATGCTGAGAAAGTAAAGGCACATTTTTGTCTGATGCTCTGAAAGCTCCCCTGAACCATCTGCAATGTCAATGGAACCTCCTTTACTGTGGTCTGAGTGCAGTGCCTCCCTGCACCCTGCAGCTGTGCCCTCTGGCACTCAGGAGGCAAGGAGACATTTCCATCCTGACAGCACTTGTTGCTGTGCCCAAAAGCCAGCGGTACCTCGCTGCAGGACTCCAAACCGCTCTGTTTCCTGCAATAACCTCTTTGCTCTTCAGGGCCCACTGATCTGAGCTCAATTCTTCGACCTGTGCCATCACCTTCCTTCTAACCAACAGTTTTCACTGTGATCTGACAGGAGCAAGAACAGCAGCCTGTCCAGCTGTGTCATGACAAAGAGATTCCCACTCCCCACCTGCACCCACAGGACTGCAGCTCACGGGGCTGAAGAGGTTGGAGAGCAAAGTCACACCCCGGCTATCCCACCCTGCTCCATCTTTAATTCTGTACAGAAATTAAGACACACAGTTTGACATATTCATCCATCTGAGTTTCCATGCAAGTTGTTGCTTCCTGAAATGAGGCTGTTACTCCAGTTCAACTAACCAAGCTGTGCAGCCCTCATTTAGCATGTCCCCTTGGCTTGGCACTGCTGTCAGGAGCATCTTTTGACAGCACTACAAAGCACATCAGAGAGCTTTCCTTTTCACTCAGCATGAAATGTGCTGGGCTGGCAGGAGCTCTGCACTCCTCACACCCATGTTTTGCTCCTGAAGGTGCTGAGTTGCTTTTTCCAGTCCTTACGATTTCCCCTCCAGGTCACTGACTGTTAATTGCTACTTTACAATGTCACCCACCTGGGGAATTGAATGCTCCCTCTCAGGCACCTTGTAAGCTGGTGTGCTCCCCGATCAGGACATGAGCAGAAACAAACCTCGATAGGAGAACCTATGAGCTCACCATCCAGCCTTGCTGTGTACGTCACCATCGTACACTGCACTCAGACTCTGTGCTGTGGTGCCTGAAAGTGGCCCATGGGCTCAGGCACTGGATGCAGTGCTGCCTTCCAGGAGGAGCAGTAGAAAATACAGCTCCCTGAAGAACCAATGAGCAGAGCCAGGCGCAGCACACCCTCCTTTTTGATCCTCCCTTCTTGCTCAAGAAATCTGCTGCAGTTGCTGTGCCAGAGGAGTAGGGTTTTTCCTGTGAGATCCCCAGCAGGAAGCAAAGCAAAGGGCATTGCCTCCAGTGTTGGTGGGTAGAGGAGTGAACCAAGTTCTACAAAGGCATGAGTCAGAGTTTTCCCAGCTCCTGAAAGTTAACACACAGGGAAAAATAGCAGTGAATGCTGCACAGCAAGCTAAAAGCCAAAGCAGGCTCCACAACTCCCTTCTGGGACAAAATGCACCCTTCCCAGAAGCACAGAGAGAGGAAGGGCAGGAAGAGAGGTGTCCATACTGACAATGGGCTGAGGAGGCATGGTGCTTCTCTGGGCCATAGGGACCATGCAGGGCC